TTTTTATACTCGACCCACTTTGAATAATCATCAAACACGAGTATATACATCTTGTTTTCTAAATCAAATAAATCAATATGTATGCCGGCATCTGATCCCATGAATTGCACCTTATAGCAGGATCTGTTGATATTCACAATCTCTGTATTCTTTCCTGGCCACCAATATTTGCACGCCCATTGTTTTATTCTCTTCACTCCTAGATGTCCTATATGAATCATTGCTTCCCTTAACTTGAACGGTGCCACACTCTGACTTCCTCGCACTAAATATTCATCTACTATTCCAATTTCTTTTCTATATATTTGAAAGTTTTATTTCCATCCTGCCATGCTTCTCGTATGTCCAGCAGCTCAAATCTACAAAAACATATGAAGGTAAAAATATGAATTCAGATTGAATTCTGATATAGACAAATAAAATTGATGATTAAATGAAGATAGGAAAAATAATATAAAAATAAAACTTATATAAAATATTTTGGATTTTTTTGGAATATCGAGTATTATTTTTTCAAAAGTAACAATTAACGCGGTTTATTTTGAAATAACGTTTATAGTTTTAATTAAAATAAGTTTAAAATTTTGGGACAGGTGAAGATAAACATGGTATATGTGCCAGACCCATTCTTTAAGTTGCAGTTTTCAGGTCTTAGGAATCGAAACTTGTTAAAGCTTAACTTTGTATCATTAGGTTTCTTTGAAATGAATAAACAATTCCATAATATTACAGTAAATTCATATATTTTTTAGTTATTTTTACATAATTTTGAAAAAAAAAGACTATATATAAGGTGTATATATAAAAAATTTTAATACATATTTAAAAATTGTTAGAAATTTATACGAATATTTAAACCTTAAATATTTTACTTATATTGTCAATTTCATGTATATTTCCAAAGGATCAAGTCATTTCTAAACCCTCTATATTTATAAAAATGAAAAAGATAAAGAAGAAAAAAATACCAATGAAATTAAACTATATTTACAGTCATCAGCGAATTGGCAAACTTTGGATTCCGCAAAATTTAATTTTTATATCGCCTTTCATTGGAAATTATTCGCGCTAATTTTTTTTATATCATTCTAATTGGCAGGCAACTCAGAATCTAGATTTGATATATTTTTTGGTTACCTTTAATTTTATGAAATTGTTGATACAATCATTTTAATATTATTTTTTATAAATTATATTAATAATTACCAATAAACAAAGTAAATTAATTATTAGCAAGGTTAAAACTTTAAAAAAAATGATATTTTTATTTTTTAGAATTTCCTTAGACAATTTTTCTTTAATGTATATTTATCGGGACAGCACAAGAGCATTGATCGTTTTTATTTATAATATTCCTGTAAAAATATCTAATTTATTTATTATATTAAATATTATTTTATATAAATTATAGTTGGAAATTTCAGGATCTGATTTTACAATAAACGTTGTACAACTCTGTTTTAAAGGGCTAAATAGTATTATCAATTTTTCTGTAGGGCATTCCATAAACAGATGTTCATCCAACATGTATATTTTATTAATTGAAAACAGGGGTAATATAGCAGGGAATTTTGCATATTTTTTCTCAATGTTAAGGTAAATTAATATCAAGTCATAATATCTTCCTCATTCACAACAAAACAAAGAAACTCGTAAATCTAGATCTCTTATGTTTGGAGAGATAATACCAAATATGCCAAGTGATTCTCTTTCTCTCTTAAACCTTTAGTAGATATAGATAAACTAGTGTTGTTAAGCTCGATTTGAGCGATTTTTAAAAACGGCTAACGCGATATTTTAGCCAGAAAAATATTGTCTAAACCTCGAGATTTCGCTAATGGATGTCCAAACTTTGTGCCCCCTATGAGCAAAATCTGAAGGCTTGCATTTTATTTTTCTGAGTAAAACATTGATTTAGCCTTTTTTAGAAATCGGCTCAAATGCCGTTAACAACGATACACAGTCTCAAATATAACATTAAATTTTGACCTTAAATATTTCTTTTGTAGTTTCTTTTATTTTTAAGTATAATACCGATTTATTTTAAGAACGCTTTTATTCCAACAGATTTTTTTTCCTTATAATTTTTTATCGTTAAACGTAAGCTTTTTTCACTATTATCATTTTACTTGATGCACATCTTAAAATATTAGAAACTTGAAGTTTAAGAGTCACTGATTTACAATTATAAATTTTTCATTATTATAGGTAAATATGAATATTACATAAACATAATTTTAAGCGGAAAAATTGTAATTCATTAATTATAAATCATATTATAAGATTTATAATTTAACCTTTTCCTTTTATATTCAGCAACAAATATTATGTATATAACTCATACTATTTTTTAATATAATATCGATTAATGGTTATTCATTTTTAGAGTTGGACTTACTTATTAGAAATATTAGACAATTAAAAAACTAATATTAATTAATACACGAAATTCGTGAATTAATGACTTCAAGGTATTTATTTTTTAAAAAATAATTCGCAAAAATAGAATTCTACACCCAAAAAATTAATTATTTAATTAAAATATTATAATTATTTTCATGAATTATGTATAATATTTTTCACAATCATTTATAAAGAATTTTATATTTCCGTAGAATGCCTACAAATGAGCAGAAGAATTTAAGGTTTGTTTTTTACTAAAAACGCTTCGTTTTATTTTAGATAAAGTTTTTTTTAACAAAAAATATCTAGAAAATAGTATTAATAATAACATTTGCCTTTTATTCGGGCAGAAACGTTTCCAAAATTTGCGCTTTGCCATTTAAAATTTACAATAAAACATAAAAAATTAAGAATTTAATGGAATACCTATTCACAATTCTTGAATATAGCAATTTATCAGTGAATATCATAAAATCAGCTGATGATAAAATTCTAGAACATTTCCCCAGTAAAGTGAGTTACATTATCCCTATCATCATGATTCTACTAACTCCTTTTGGAATTTTAGGGAACATTCTGATTCTTTACGCCTTATCACCCTTGACCAAAAGTGCCTGCGGAAATACGCTGAAGGCATCCTACAGCATTCACAACCTACATTACCTGGTCTGGATACATATTATAAGTTTATTAATTTGCATCATTACCGGTGTTAGAGGTTATTGGATTATAAAATATCCCAAAATGTGTCTTAACAATGAAATGAGTCTTTTCGAAGCATTGTCAAAGGCTAAATTTAGACAAGTTTTATTATGCAATCTTTTGTTTTTATCTCACTGGTTTATGGGGGTATTGTCGATAAGAGGCTTTATCGCGATTAAATTTCCTATTTTTTACAAGATCAAATTCATATACAAAGAATCAAACCTGGATAGCTTCATAATGTTGTTCTTAACAGTAGTATCACTTATAACATCTCTACCTTTCCTATTCAACCAGAGTATTTATCTCGTTAAAACTAGACAACATTTAAATAACAGGTATTTTATTCTGACGAACGAAAAATTGAAGCCATTTTTCAGCAAATACTATACGTTCGCTATTACGACGGCTATCACGATACCTTGTATACTCATAGTGATCTTTAACTTACAGACTTGGTACTTGATTTATAAAAAAGATAAATCTAAAGAATCAAAGGTTATGCCAATTACTAGAGGTTGTTCGAATACAATTTTGAATTCTAATTTAAGCCTAGATCAAGTGGAAAGAAATAGTGTAAAAAAGTTGCATAATTTTGCCGTTATGGCAAGCGTGCTAAGCACAATTACTTTCTTCTTTTCAATACCAGCTATCAAACTATCATCTCTCAAAAGTGAATACGAACTCTTTGAACTAAGTTGTAGTTCCGATTATCTTATGCTCGTCTATATATTTCTAATCCTTAAGCATTTCATGTATCCCTACCTAATAGTTTTGGGTAACCCCGTGCTTAGAAAGTTTATGTCAGAAAAGATTAAAAAATATTTAGCATAGTGAAGACATTTTTCGAAAACCTTCCGCACGAGAAGCTCAAAATTCAGGAAATCAAGGTGGAAAGAATCAGCTTGCATAGACTTACCGAACGAAGCCTAGCACAACATATTCCCAAAAAATTTATCCCCACACCTCTGCGTGGTTTTATTAGCGGGGTGTCCGTCACACTGCTGCTTATCAAGTATATATTTTTTATATGTATTATATTTTCATATTGAAATTTTTTTCTTAGCATTAAAAACGTTTTGTATATAACCTTGATAAATTAATATTTGTCCATAATTTTTTTTTAAACATTTATATAAGTTTTTCAAACGATAAAAGGAAATACAATTTTACGGTCAATAATACCTACAAATATAATAAATCAAATATGATGAAAGAAATGGTACCCTGTCCATTATTTACAAACTTAGCGCGATAAAACTTTTATAATCACAAGTCACAACTAGCTCCAGAAACAGTAAGAGCAACTTCAGCGTTCAACATATAATTTTTTGTTTTAATATATCTTTATAATAATTAGTTATATACGCGTCATATATTTAGTTATGGAATGATCTTATATCATTTGGCGATTTTTGAAAAATATGTATTATATCTTACATTCACAGTTAGCGCGAATTCGTGGCGAAGTATACAATGAATGCAAAATTATTATATTTATATCATATTTTCATACTTCGTCGCGAATTAATGCTAACTATAGTGACTGCACGGTTAACGGAAGGTATTCCAACATGTTTAGAATACCTGCCCCGTATACTTCAAACATTTTTCTCCATAAATAATTTTATATTTTATTTTTAATTTATACGAAACCAAAAAAAAAAGAATAATTTTCCATTTCTAAAGAAAAGTAATGCCACATTTATTTAAAGCAGACAATTTTTGATATAAAAATAGAGATAATTTTTTTAAAATAAAAATAGCCATTTATTTTGTTAATATTTCTGAAATATATATCATATACCCATTTATCGAATTTGCAATTTTTTTAAATTGTATTGCATACATTTTATCATTGTATCGCGGCATATCATATGTTTAAAATTTGATCAGAACAATTTCATCGTTTCGTTCCATATATATTATCTATTTATTGTCTTTTTGTAAATAAGCAGCGTTAAATATCGCATCGCTTAAAAGAATCGCCTTTACTATAATTGAACCCTGTTATATTTTCACATTTTATATAATAATGCAATAAAAAATAAAGTTTACTTTTTTAAAATGGTTTCTAACCTGCATACTCAGTTATCGCGTATTCGCTGTAATGTATATAAAAATACAGGATATTTCGTATACTTCGCCGCGAATTCGTAATGATTAATTTGCGTAATAAATTTGAAATGCATTATTTGCATTAGCAACGCAGGGTTCGAATCGCTTAATTTGTGTGCACTATAAAAATTATTTTATTTTATATCTTATTGATAAGAAGCAAATGTAAGTTTAATATAATTTTGGCTCTAATAATTTCATGGATCGGTTTAAGTTTAGAAAGCACATAGTACAACTCACAATCTTTGTCGTAGATATGCCCTTCTTCCTTAAAAGTTTTTTTTTCAATAAATTAAATATAAGGCCTCTAGATCCCAACTCCTAAGACAGTGTCGCTACACCTCTCCCGATAACTAAAATTGATACCATTTTATAGGCACCCCCAATGCGTGTTATAGGGCCCTTTGTACCATATGAAATACTAAATAGAAGTCAGGTTATATAATAAGTGACATATAACTATAAAAAAATACTTTTTCTCGTTACGTTAACCTTAATTTTTTTTAAAAATGAAAATAACTTTCTTGAGGTCAATCATATTCATAATACTAGGAAAAACATAACTTTCGTTACCGGAAGAATGTTCTAGAATTTAATCCTCAGTTTATTTTGTGATAGTCGCTGATAAATTGCTACCTTTAAAAATGTTGAATTGGTAATCCATTAAATTTTATCGTATTTGGTTGGCTTATATATTTTCAACTTATATTCAGCAACAAATACTATGAATTCTTACTTTTTTTTTAAATTAAGAAATAATATAATATCGATTAATGGTTATTCATTTGTATGATAGTTGGCTCTTACTTATTAAAAGAAATAGATTGAATTAATTTCAAAAATACTAATATTAATTAATACACGAAATTCGTGAATTAATGACTTCAAGGTTTTTTTAAAAAAAAAATTTACAAAAAAAATTGTACATCCAAAAATTAGTTATTTAATTAAAATAATATCATTATTCTCCATGAAATTATACACAATATTTTTCACAATCATTTATAATGAATTTTATTTTTTCCGTAGAATCATTTTTTTTTAAATTGAAAGTTGTATTTTTTTTGAAATATCTAAAAAATAGTATTAAATAATAACATTTACCTTTTTTCGGGCAGAAACGTTTCCAAAATTTTTACTTGTCACTTAAAAATTTACTGTATAACTTAACACTTTTTAAACACTATATAAATATATATATAATTTAATGGAATACCTATTCACAATTTTTAAATATAGCAATTTATCAGTGAATATCACAAAATCAGCTGATGGCATAATTCTAGCACATTTGTTAGGTAAAGTGAGTTTCATTTTCCCTATCATCATGATATTATTGACCCCTTTTGGAATTTTAGGGAACATTCTGATTCTCTACGCTTTATCACCCTTGACCAAAGGTTCCTGCGGAAATACGCTGAAGGCATCCTACAGCGTTCACAACCGACATTACCTAGTCTGGATACATGTTATAAGTTTATTAGTTTGCATCATTACCGGTGTTAGAGGTTATTGGATTATTAAATATCCCGAAATCTGTCTTAACAATGAAATGAGTCTTTTCGAAGTATTGTCAAAGGCTAAATTTAGACATGTTTTACTCTGCAATCTTTTGTTTTTATCCCACTGGTTTATGGGAGTATTATCGATAAGGGGCTTTATAGCGATTAAATTTCCTATTTTTTACAAGATTAAATTCATAAACAAAGAATCAAACCTGGATAGCTTCATAATGTTGTTCTTAACAGTAGTATCATTTATAACATCTCTACCTTTCCTATTCAACAAGAGTATTTATCTCGTTAAAACTGGCCAACATGTTTTAGAAAATAAGTATTTTATTCAGACGAACGAAAAGATGAAACCATTTTTCAGCAAATTTTATACGTTTGCTGCTACGATGGCTATCACGATACCTTGTATACTCATAGTGATCTTTAACTTACAGACTTGGTACTTGATTTATAAAAAAGATAAATCTAAAGAATCAAAGGTTATGGCAATTACTAGAGGTTGTTCGAATACAATTTTGAATTCTAATTTAAGCCTAGATCAAGTGGAAAGAAATAGTGTAATAAAGTTGCATAATTTTGCAGTTATGGCCAGCGTGTTAAGCACAATTACTTTCTTCTTTTCAATACCAGCTATCATACTATCATCCCTCGAAAGTGAATTCAAACTCTTTGAACTAAGTTGTCATTCCGATTATCTTATGCTCGTCTATATATTTGTAATCCTTAAACATTTCATGTATCCTTACCTTATAGTATTGGGTAACCCCATGCTTAGAAAGTTGATGTCAGAAAAGATTAAAAAATTATTTTGTATAGTGAAAACCTTCCACACGAGAACTTAAAATTCAGGAAATCAAGGTGGACGAATCAGTGATCTTATTATCAAACGAAGCATAGCTCAACATATTCCCAAAAAAATTTATCCCTACCCCTCTACATCGTTTTAGCGGGGTTGTATGTCACACCAGTACTTATTAAGTATATTATATTTTTTATATCTTTGTATAGTTCTTATATGTATTGTATTTACATATTAATATTTTTTCCCTTTGTATAAAAAAAACTTTTTTTTATTTCACCTTGATAAATTAATATCTTTGTGTGTCCATAATTCTTTTTAAAATTAATATTATATAAGTTGTTCAAAGAATAAAAAAAAATAGGCTCAATTTTACGAAAAATAATAGTCAATTAAATTTAAAACAAAGTTAATAAATCAAATATGGCAATGATACCCTGTCCGTTTTTTTCTGTAAACCAGATGGTCTTACAGACAGGAATGGTAACGCGATAAGGCTCTTACACTCACAACTGGCTCCAGAAATACTAGACGCGTCGATGGTGAACTACTTCAGTGTTCAACACATAATATTTTTTAAAATATATATTCTTTATAAAAATTAATAATATTGTGTCATATCTTGGGATATGGAATCCGCTGAGAATTGGAATCTCTCGATTTTATATCCTTTGGCGATTTTTGAATAAATATCTAATATACTCTGCATTCAGTTTGCACGAACATAATTCTTTGAGACATGAAGATAAACTGAAAGAAATCACAAAAACTTTTAAAAAAAATTTTCTCTTTTTCTTGTAATCGACGAAATTTTTCATATTTAAAAATAATATTACAAAAGAGTAAAATACCAATTAAAAAGTTAGGTTAGCTAAGTGCGGTGAAGGCCAACCAAGACCTAAATTCAAAGACTAAATAAAATCTATTTACTTTATCTGTCAAAATGGATCTGAAACAATTTGGCCGAAAAATGACTAGACTCTCTATTTGTCTTCTAGACTCAATCTGAATGCAGTCAACCATGTTTTATTTTAAAATCGTAAATTAATCTGATTGATTATTACTCTATAAGGCGAAAAACGTAAATTATTTTAAATTATAACAATTCCCTCGTAAAAAAAATATACTTGAAAACTAGCAGAATTCTAATCACTCTAAATCCTAAAATTATGCCACCAAATTTGGATGAAAAATATACACATTCACACCCCTACATCAAGCTTGCCAGAAAAATATCTACAAATTTTAAATCAATATTTGTCATAACACTACAAATCAAACTGTAACAGCAAACATAATCAAATAAATTAATTTAATCGTTCTATAATAAATCAATATTCTAAATGTCAAGGTTGAGAAATAACGTTTATTTTAAAAATTTATTTGTGTACCAAAATAAAATTGGTTGATTTTTATTTATTTACTTCCTATACGGTATTAAATACATGTTTATATTATTATTTTAAATTATATTGCTTACTCATGTATTAGCGTAAAATATATTTATTTTTAAAAATTATTTTGTTTAATATTTATCGTATTTTAGTCGCCTGATTTTATATATCAAGTGTAGAACTTGGGCTTTATTTGTCCTAAAAAAGTATATTTTATAACTATAATTTATTGTTTTTTTTTAATTTTCACAACGGGGTTATAATGTATTATATTAATAATTATATTCGAAGCGGTGAATGAGACCTAAACATATGGGAGGAAATTATAGTGTGATTGGTTAATATTTGTGGAGGTGTTGACAAAGATGTGGTGCTAATTTTTTAAAATGAAATTTGGTTTTTAAAAAAAAAGTTATTGTTGGAATTTTGGGAAAAAAAGTGTACAAATGCTGTGTTGAATTAAATTGAAGTGAACGAAAAAAATTATATAGAGAACGCAAAACGCGATAGTGAAATACAATTGTGAGAGATTTATATAAATTAATAAAGAAATATATAAATGCGAGAGTGAAAAAATATAAGTGGAGAAATAGTCCTCGAAAGGGAAAAAAGATGTAAATTTTTATGAGTGTTTAGTTTCCACATGGAGGAACCGTTCTTTTTGCCACCAATGTGTGAAGGAATAATTATAAATTTTGCATTAAAAAAATACATCAATGATGCCCTCATAGTTTTTGGTTTTGAGTTTAGAAATTAGCGCTATACTTTTATATGGGGTAAATATAAAATAACGAAAATCATCGTGTGAGACAAATATTTAGAGATTTCAATGAATAGTGCGGTGATGAATAGAGAACAGTAAAATAGGGCGCTAAGGAAGGTGAATTAATTTGTGTAAGAACCAAACGTGTAAATTAACGAGTGCGAAAACCAATGTAGCGGCGAAAGTATAGAATAATAATGGGAAATAAAATAGCGTTGAATAAAATTGATAAAGAGAAAATGGCAAGTGGTAGAAAATATATTTTTATATGAAGATGTGGTGTGAAACTAAAAAAAATACAAAAAAAAACGAATTGACTTAAAGCAGAGATAACAATTTTAAAAAAAATGTGGCAGGCGGATGCTAATGGGTTGAAATACAAATAAAATATAAAACAAAATGAGTTGGCTTCAAGGGAGAAAAATATATTGACAAGATTAAGATTGAAGATAAATATTATGCAATGTTTCTTTATAAAAAAGGGTGATTTTCAAGGAATTAGGAAAAAGGAGTGTGTGGTTGGGGGGGGGGGGGTAGTTAAAAAGAAAAGGATAGAAATATCAATATTTTTTACCTTTGTTTTTAGAATAAAACTGCGAAAATGTGAATACATAATTTTTAGTGAAAAAAAATTAATTGGGACGTAATTTTAAGTTAGTTGAGTTAAAATATAACAAGCGTGTTTGATAAAAATTAAATATTTTTCTTGGTTTAAAAAAAATAGTAGAGGGAAACAGAAAAGCTGATGTTTTAATTTATGATGTGGAGAGGTTTATGAAAATGCGAATTTTTTTAAAAGTTAGTTGACGAACATTTAAAATTATATTATCTTAAATTGGGGGGTATAAAAAAAGATACAGCATATATTAACTATTGATATAATAAGTTTAATTATTTATTTTTTTCGATTTAAATGAGTTAACAACTTTGTAGAAATTTTGAGAGGGGGGAATGCAGGGGAACTCATTGGGGAGTAATTAGGAAGGATTGGACTGAATATATATGTGGGTTTCTTAAAAGGAGATGTACAAAAGATGTATTTGAAATTTGAGAAAAGGTGTTAATATATTGAGATAAATTTTAATAGAGAGGTGTTTAAAATTGTTGTTAAAACGTTGATAGTATTAATATTGAAAACTTTGACTTTAAAATATGTATAGAGTGCGTAAATATTTCTTAATATATTGATGAACGATAGAGGTGAATTAAAAGAGAACGAGTTGATCGAACCAAATAGATACCATAAAAAAAGAATGGAAATGGTGGTCAAAAAAAAATCAAGAATTGATTGTGGAAATGGATATAGATTATCAACTCGTAAAAAAATAAATTAAGGGAAATATTTGTTCAATTCAAACTCAATGAAGAAAAAGTCGTTAACGTTGGGTACAGATAACAATATTCGAACCAACTCGTTGAAGACTACAGAGGTACATCATTAACGTTGGGTCAAGATAACTCAATCAATGCCCACTTCAGCAAAACTATTGGGATTTTGAAAAGATGGAAACCACTATACAATCAAAGATTGGAAGGAAGATAAATTCATGTTATTGTGAAATAACATATTATTTAGAGAAAAAATCACATGGGTAGGAATTAATGAAAAAATTTATTAACAAACTGAATATTTGCAATTGAGAGAAACCATGAATTAGATTTCTAAAAGTATTTATAATCTAATGTCATGACAAGGCAAACAATGTGGGTGTCAAATGAGCTCATATATGGAGGGCATGTTATATTATTATTTTAAATTATATTGCTTAATCATGAATTCATGGTAAAATATATTTAGTTTTAAATTATTGTATAGTCACCTGATTATCATATGTAGCACTCGTGATTTCTGTATCCCAAAAAAATATAAATGGGACAAGATTTTATAAGTTTTGTAAATATATTTTGTTGGATAAAATTAACAGTTGAAAATTTATTAATTTTAGAGTTGTGTTGGTAAATTGTGAGTTATAAAATAGTGTACTGGTAGAAGATTATATGATTTTCACAGATTAATTTGGGTTTTCAGTAATTCTGGCACCTCTATAAAATTTAGTCATAGCCTTAATGATTTTCTATTTTAAAAAATTCTAATATTTTTAATTTTTATTATGGAAACCATTTTAAAAAAAATTCTGCAAATTAAGCTACATTTTAATTTTTTTTCATTTTTCCATATAATGATAACTTACCTAAATTTTTATTTATTGAATTAGGCTAAATTAAAAACTAGTCTGTCTATTCTAATTGAGTGATTGTTTGAAGGGTTTATAAAACGTTTTACCATGATGTATACTACTTATAAAGTAAGGTATAATTTATCTTTTATTTTGTTATAAATGGTTTAGTTTAATCTCCACTAAATACTTCAAAGCCTAAATACATACAATTAAATAGGTGAGACATTTTATAATATCCAATTCTAGTGAATTTACCAAATCTAAGTTATGTCTTTATCAAATTAAAATATATTAAAGATTTTATTGAATTTAATTTTAAATAAAAATTTGTTATTTCTAATATAATTTACTAATATGATATATTAATTATATAACTCAAAATAATATAAGTTAATATTGAACAATTTATCAATAAAAAAATTAATTATGCTTTATAGCTTGACGACTGGATGTTGATCTTTCAATTGGTATGTTTCTAACACCTTTTTCTTCAACCATTTGCCTAGGGCAATCAACAACCAGCATTCCATCTTGAGTTAATTGTGATTTTAACTTGGTCGGATCACAACCTGGAGGCAATGTATACTTTCTAGTAAATTCTCTTGAAATATATCCATGATCATCTTGTTTTTCTTCATGTTTGGCATGAATGGTAACCCTAAGATATTTAAAACTAAGGAATTTATTTAAATAAAAGCTCACATGTTATCTTTAACTTTAACATTCATTTCCTCTGGTTTAAAATGATGGCAATCAAGTTTTACCTCAAAATGTTTATTGTCAACATTCATCTCAGAAAATCCAAATTTTGAATTGGCCAAGCCCCTCATTTCACGATCCATTTCCATTAAATCCATTCCTAATCCTTGGTTATAGAGCATTTGAGGTGCAATTGACCATGGATCCCAACTACACATTCTTGCAAATGGAATTAAAGACATTTCGAATTTTTTTTGGTAGTAAAAAATTTGGCACGAGTAATAAAAATGAGCTCTCAATATGTAAAGATTTTTCGAGAAAAATAAAATTTATAATTCCAATAAAAAAACTGAAATCACTTTTCTTATTAGTTAATACAACATAAAAAAAGCCTTATTATTATTAAAATGGATATTATTTAATTAAATGCTATTTTAATAACAAATCTTCTGAATCGTCTCTATAAATTATTAAAATGAGTATTATTTAATAAAAGCTATGTTAAATGATAAGTCTTTTACAATCCTTAATATTAAGGTTAGAATCATAGATAGTAAATTATTGGTTTTAAACTAAATAAAACTAAGCCAACCTAAGTGTTGGATAATATATAGGTAATTTAGGAGGATGAAGGGCTAGCATTTAGGAGAGTAAAACTGTAACATGTGAATAAATATACGGAACCACATTTTAAAAAGGTAATAATTTTTAATTTAATTAAATGTTCTACAAAAGTTATGATTATTAGAATAGAACCTTTTATTCTATTAAATATATTACATTTCCTTTTTATTAATTTTTAAAGTATTTAATTATAATTTTTGGATATGATAAGAATTTATATTAATGAATAATGTTCTAGCTCCAGCGTATTAGTTTTTTTTATATCTTATAAGTATACCATCTGTAGTAAAGAAGTAATCTAGTCTAATATTTTATTATATTGTATATTATATTTGCCAATTGGATATGATTATATATATATATTTACGATTAATATAATAGGTGTTGTTTAACTTCCTAATGTATTATGTACACACTTATCCATTATCGTATAACTATAATCGCCATCTTCTGATTATGTGGTTGTATCATATGAATATTGTATAGAAGTATAGAAATAAATAAATGAAAATAATGGTTCTACTTTCGCAAAATTGACGACGAGGAGGATAATATTCTAATTAAAACAAGTAAGAAAATAGTTATTAATTTTATAAATTATGCCTCAGGCCAAAAATACTAGTATAATTGATAAATTAGAAAAATATCAAATTAATTCTTCAATACAACGTTGGTTCCAATTTTGGGCGCAACGTTAAGACTTAAGAACTGGACACCGACCGATCAAGAAAATAAGGACCTGTTAATGGTGAGTTTTGGCGCTGAAGGCATTGACATTCTCGAACAATATTTATTTCCTGAAACCATTCTAACGACTAAATTTAATAAGATAAGGAGTGTCTCGCTACATATTTTTGAGAAGAATAAAACCATTTTCGGTAGTAGATTAGACTTCATAAGGTTAATTAGAAATGAGAATGAACCAATTGGAGAATTTGCTAATAGAATCAAAATAACTGCGAAAGCGTGTTGTTTTACGCCGTCAGAAGTTGACGGCCGGTTAAGAGATCAATTAGTCGCGGGTATAGATCTACCAGGTCTTGAAATTGAACTTAGGACTAAATATCTCTAGCATTGGATGCGAACAAAAAGCCCCTGATGTTCCAGTTCGTGCTAGATATGGCCACGGCAACAGAAAATGCTCAAAACGAAATGACTTTCAAGAAAGACTTGGTAAATAGTGTCAGACCGCAAGATGGCAAACATAAAATGCCTAATTCACGAGAGTGTGTTATAAGAGATAATTATTATAGGAAGCCTAATAACAGGTTTTACGATAATAAATGGGAGAATTGTGCCGGCTGGCATGAAAGATATTTATGCCCAGCTAAAGACAAAACATGTTTTAAGTGCCAGAGAACAGGACATTTCGCAACATGTTGCCTTAGTAAGCTTGTATATCGCAATTTAAACTCAGTGAAACCACATTTTCACTCAAGTGATTCAATTAATAATCTCTGGACAAGGGGATTAAATAAAAGGGCTAAGATCACAGCCAAAATAAATGGACTTAGTGTCACTTTTGATTATGATACAGGAGCACAAGCCTCGATTATAGGATTGAATATTTGGGAGAAAATTGGCAAACCATTAACATCTTCCACAAACCCATTAGCAGCCTATGGAGATAAGCCTTTGGATCTTATGGGTGAAGCCATGGTTCGTGTGCAAGTGGGGAAGGAAATTTGCAATTTATCAGTTATTATAATAAAGTCAAATGATTTACCTCAATTTGGGTTGCCATGGATTTTAGCATTTGGGTTTGAGTTACCGAGACAGGTAAGCAAACAACAGGTTCTCAAAACGAATAGAGAAACAATAGCATCAAGTTGCCACCAAACCAACGATGGCCCGATGGGCCGCTCGAATACATTCGGTGCCCCCGCGGGCCAAAGCCTCGATGGGCCGTTCGAATACAATCGATGTTCACACGGATCGAGGATGTCACTAACGGAAGACTCAATGGGGCATTTGTTAACTAAACAGTTTAAAGCTGTTTTTGACGACAAACCGGGGTTGATACGTAATTACGCGGTGCGACTTCAATTAAAAGATACGGCTGTTCCAAAATCGTTTCCAGCTCGTCGAGTGCCATTTCCGTTACGCAGAACGGTTGAACTAGAACTAGATCGCCTTGTGGCTGCTGAGATTTTGGAGCCCATCGATTCCTCTATAACTAGGGTGCCATGGGCAACCCCAACAGTAAATGTCAGAAAAAACAATGGCGAGATTCGTATTTGCGCAGATTTCAAAATGAGTCTAAATCCCCATCTATTATATGATCATCACGTTATTCCTACACTGGATGACTTATTGGTTAAGATTCAGGGGGGGAACCGTTTTACGGTGATAGATTTAAAGGACGCGTATCTACAAATGGCCGATGAGCCAGAGTCCCAAGAATATTTGGTCATCTCAACACATAAAGGATATTTTCGATACCGAAGGATGCCGTTTGGGCTTTCGTGCGCACCAACTATTTTCCAGCGTTACATGGACAATGTTTTGAAAGATTGCCCGATGACTGGAGTGTATTTGGACGATGTAATTATCTCCGGCGAAAATGACGCCGAACACCTGGCTAATTTAAAAATAGTACTCGAAAGGCTACAGGAAGCCGGCCTCAAAGCTAAATTTGAAAAGGTTCAATTTCTACGGAAATCTGTTTCATTTTTAGGTATAGTTATCGACCAAAATGGGGTACATCCAAGCGAAGAGAAAGTTAAAGCAATCCAGGCCGCGCCTAACCCCAAAAATGTTCATCAGTTACGTTCATTTCTTGGGCTTGTCACATATCATGAACGGTTCATTCCCAATCTTCATAGTAAAGCAGCTGTGTTACATCGATTGACTAGTGTAAAAGTACCATGGTGTTGGACTAATGTAGAGCAGGAGGCTTTCGATAAGGTTAAGACATTGTTATCAGCGGAAGAAACCTTATCGCCGTATAATGCTCAATTACCGTTGATTATGGAGTGTGACGCGTCAGATACAGGACTGGGGGCTGTTTTACTTCATAAGGTTTCACAAAACGGGGAAAAACCCATAGCATTCGCGTCTCGGACGTTGTTACAGTCGGAGAAACATTATGCGCCTATCGATAAAGAAGCGAGGGCATTGTTATTTGGAATAGAAAAATTCCACAATTTTATCTACGGTCGAAAATTTAAACTTCGGACAGACCATAAACCCTTGGAAGGGTTGTTCGGGGAAAAGAGGGATCTGCCAAAGATATCGAACAATCGTCTGACACGTTGGGCCTGGAAGATGGCCGCTTACGACTTTAGCGTGGAATATAGATCTGGTCGGGAGAATGTTATAGCAGACGCCTTATCTAGGCTACCGCTCCACGATATCATACCTAATCGGGATACCAAGCATGCATTGGCAATTCGGAACGTAAACTTAGAGGATATGCAGGTCTCAGAGGGAAACCTGCGCAAGTATTCAACTAAAGATTCAATATTAAAGCGTGTGGCACAACATATTGAGCAAGGGTGGAGAGGTTTTAATCGGAAAGAAGAGCCGGAGTTAGTAATTTTTTACACCCAACGAGAGGAATTAACAGTAGACAGGGGAATAGTTGAACGAAATGGTAGATTGATAATCCTTATGAAACTTAGGAATTCAGTGTTAGAAACACTACATCGGGGACATCCGGGAATAAACGCGATGAAATCTATTTTCCGGTTGTATTTTTGGTGGCCGAAGTGCGAAGAGGACATAGAACAGTATATAAAGCTGTGTGTTGGATGTCAGAAAAATCGACCAAACGTAATGGAATTACCACTAGACTCATGGAATTGTACTAAAGAGGTATGGGAGCGTATACATCTAGATTTTGCGGGACCGGTTGACTCTTTATATTGGCTAGTGGGAGTAGATTCATACTCAAAATGGGTTGAGGTAGATCTGATGAAAAACACATTGGCGAAGGAGATGATAACGAGATTAAAGAAGTGGTTTGCTACCGTTGGGGTACCTAAAAGCATTGTAACAGATAATGAACCTCAATTTATTTCAATAGAATTTAAGCGATTTTGTGAAGAAAACAACATTTGCCACATTCGCTCAACGCCGTACCACCCGAAGACAAATGGGCAGGCGGAACGAACCATTCGAACTTTAAAAGGGAGGTATTATGCCAGTCGAGAATCAATTAATGACCCACAAGAGGCGATGACTCAAACGGTAGCAGCGTATAGGCTGGGAGAACATAGTTCGACGGGTAGGTCACCAGCGAAAATTATGTTCGGTCGTCAAATAAGAACTAATCTCGACTGGGCTAGACCAGAGGTGGGAAAGGAGATTGATAAAGCCAAGGATAAACAAAATCAAGAACGTGATACACATTCCAATTTTAGGGAATTTGATGTTGGCCAGCATGTATGGGTAAGGAATGAAACCACTAAGGGTTGGAGAGAAGGAGTGATTCAGGATAGAAATGGATTATATTCCTATGTAGTCAAGACCCCAGATCGTGTAATACGGAAACATGCTGACCAATCAAGAGACCGTTTGATAGCAGATACGACGGAGCACGTGATCGCTGACAGCGATCAAAGAGAGTGTGAGGCCCCAAGGCGAGATCGGATACATAAGCCCCTGAAACGAATGATTGAAGAGATTTAGACATCTCTCAATTAACGTAGGGGGAAATGTAATAAAGAAGTAATCGAGTCTAATATTTTATTATATTG